GTGCTGGGGGATTGAACCGCGGTCCCTGTGCTTCGCTAAGTTTGTTCTAAGTAGGTGCTTTAGACCACTGAGCCATCTCACCAGCCCATAAAAAGAAATATTGAAAAAAAAAAAAAAAACGAAAGAAAAGAAAGAAAGAAAAAAAGGGCCAGAGAGATAGCTCAGTAGAATAAGCGCCTGCCTGGCAAGTGCAAGGTCCTGGGTTAAACCCCTGGTACTGAAAAAAAAAAAAAAGATAAAAAAAATGAAAATAAAAAGAAATATTGACTGAGACTAGGTAAATAAACTTCTCTTAGTAAGACAGACTACATTACTTGAAATGCTGTTTTGTAAAGTCTGTGGATACATAATAATGTACTTGGAATTACAGAAGGCAGAAAACAATCTTTTTTACTGATCATAATAACTGGGAAGCGATCGGATGTTGGGCAGGCAGCAGAAAGTGCAGGAGGTGGGCCTGTGAGATAGCTCAGCGGCCTAAAGCGCCTTGCTTAGGCAAGCGTGAGGGGACCAGGGTTGGATCTGGGCACCACAAGCCACACCAGCCACGCCCCCAGGGTGGGCTGAGCCAGCCACAAAAAAGAAGGAAAGAAAGAATGAATGAATGAATAAATGCAGAAGCAGGAAGGCCCCGCCCACAAGCTATGGCCAGCCACGCCCCCAGGGTGGGCTGAGCCAGCCACAAAAAAGAAGGAAAGAAAGAATGAATGAATGAATAAATGCAGAAGCAGGAAGGCCCCGCCCACAAGCTATGGCCAGCCACGCCCCCAGGGTGGGCTGAGCCAGCCACAAAAAAGAAAGACTGAATAAACGCAGGAGAAGCAGCCCCTGTCCTGTCCCGTGTCGTCCCCCCACCCCCAGCCGGAGCGCAGCAGAGCACTCCGCAGCTGGCACTCCCCGCCTGGCCTCTGTGACTCATTTCCTTCCTCCATGACGGGGCTAGTAGTAGACAGCAGCGGTTTGGAGATTAGATGTGCTGATGCGCCGGGAAGGCCGGGGAGTAGCACCCCACACGCAGATACTCGCAGCTTCTCCTGCTTGAGCTGTGAGATTCGAGTGATAAAGATTACTTAGGCTTGAATGCATATTGGTTTCTTTTACCCACAAAATTGCTTATTAAGGTCATATTTAAATGATGTGAGAGTGTGGGGGGAAGAGAGGGAGGGAGACGGAGAGGGGGAGAGACGGAGAGAGAGTATAGTTCCTCAGGAGTCATGAAAAGCGCGAGATCAGGACTGTGGTGGCAAACCTATGGCACATGCGCCTCAGGCGGCAGGCAGACACCACTCCTCGGTGACATTGTGAGTTGTATGTGTTGTGTTGTTTTTCCCCAAACCCTCAGCATGCAGGTTTACTCGCAGTGTTAGCACTTTGGGATACAGAAGTGAGGTTCGGGTTGCAGTTCGGGCCCCGTGTCTTAAAGGCTCACTGTTGCGAGGGCTCGGGACAGACGCTTCAGGATTGTGCAGACCAAGTTCCCCCAGCCCCGCTGTCCATACACAGATGGGAAAGAAGGCATCGGCGCCAGCTGGGACTCACCCACCACCTTGGCCCACACTCTGTTCCCTTCCTTCTACTTTTGAATAATTCCTGGCTATAGCTTGTATCCTGTAGAGCATTTCTAAGCTTCTGAGGCGCTCCTGTGGCACAGCAACTGATTAGGAGGCAAATGTGTTGGTTCCCCTGTGCTCCTCTCGGATGCAGTGACGGGGCTAACACCTCCTCCCCTGCTAGCCCCCACAGCTGTGCCACACTCAGCGAGAGAATGGAATGCACTTCCCAAGCTGGAGAAGCTGCAAGAGGCCATCGAACAGAGAACCAGGATAGACATCGGAGACGTTATCCAAGTCAGAGGCTACATCCGCACATACAGAGAGGAGCGAGAAGTTCATGCCACCATGTATTGTAAGTACAAGATGTCTCTGCCAAATTGGCCATTGTTCTGGGCATGTGTTCAGTGAACTCTTGTTAAGTCAAACTTACAAGAAGTTTGGACGACTTAACAGTAGTGGGTGGAAGTATATGGTGTAACTTGCCTTCTTTAGAAGAGCGACATTTCTTTTCTCTTCCCCCCCCCCCCCCAGTTTTTTAGATAGGCTCTCATGATGTAGTGCAGGCTGGTCTTGAACTCACAGTGATCCTCCTGCCTCAGCGTCCTGTGTGCTGGGATCATAGGCATGTGCACCCAGAGTTTAGAATGTTTTTGCAGGGGGAGTGGTGGTGCTGGGCATTGGACCCAGGGTCCTGTGCATGCTAAGCAGGCGATCTACCATCTCCCCAGACTCCACATTTTTAAGTTTTATTTTGAAGAAAGCTGGTTATAAGTAAAAGAAAATGGAATATTTGCCAAATCTAGTTTTCAGGTTTTCTTGGACACTTTGAATTTTGTCACTGCGCTCAGGTAGGTAGTTCCTAGTCTTCTCAGGGATGGCGGCGTCTTGAGCACTATCCAGTCCTTCCCTGTAAGCGAAGAAAACAGCTCCTCCAAAATGGGGCGATCCCGCGTGCGCTCGCCTGCGCCGGGCCAGGTGACACAGCTGGACCTGCCAAGCGCAGCTCCCGTTGTGTACGAGGGACAGACGGACCCTGCCCTGTACATGTCCTGTCCCCACCCATCCCGTCACTCCCAGCGCTCAGGGCACTGTCTTCCCTCTGAGGGTGACTGGAACGCCGGGTACATCCAGGCCGCTGCCCTTGCGGTAATGCGGACCGGAAAGACCTGACCGTGGTGTGATCTTCGGTAGATAAAGTGGACGACCCGGTGTGGAGCGCTCAAATGGCCCGAATGCTCGAGCTGCCTGATCTCTACAGGAAAGTGTACGACCAGCGCCCCCGCAGCGCGGCCCTGGAGCTGGAGGAGGCAAGCAGGTGCGTGCCACTGCCCCTGCCCGAGATGTGCGGGAGAGCCTGGCCGCCGGGGCAGCCGGAGCTCTGGAGCTGGGGTTGGCCTCCAGCGCTGCGGAGCTCTGTGGTCTGTTTCCTCCTTCGCGGTGAAGATGGTAATGGCACAAACGTCCTGCGGGCCGTGCAAGGAAAATGCAGAGTTAATGTTGCTGACAGCTTTCCCCTTGCTGACCCAGTATCCAACACTCAGAATTTAAAGGAGTGATTTGTTTTGGCTCCTGACTTCTGTGCCCAAGGCAGAGGAGCTGCTCACCTCCTGGTGACCAGGAAGCGGGAGAGGAGCGGAGCTGGGGGGGGCACACACCCTCCCAAGCCACGCCCCAGTGCCCCACCCCTCCCAAGCCACGCCCCAGTGACCCACCCCTCCCAAGCCAAGCCCCCAGTGACCCACCCCCTTCCAGCCACGCCCACTTCCAAACTTGAGACTTTGAGCACAGTTTATGTCTAAGCCTTAACGGAGTAGAAGGGATGCACAGGAAAGATACTGGAACAAGTAATGGGGGACATTTTTCCGAGTTGGATGAAAACTAAAACTCAGTTCAAGAAGCTCAATCCCTTGGGGCCGGGGAGATGGTTCAGTGGAATAAGCGGGTCCCTAGCAAGCGCGAGGTCCTGAGTTCCCCAGTTCCAAAAAAAAAGAAGAAGAAGAAGAAGAAGCTCAACCCACCTCAGGGCAAGAGTCAGGAAGAAAACTATGGAGGCACATCACAAATGCATTATACCACCACTCATAACCAAAGCCTACAAAACACCCCGACAGCAACAGCCAGGCAGCAGTGCTCTACCAGCAGGTCAAACCCAGCCCAACCCAGGAGAAATGGCAGATGAGAATTTGCTAGCATGTAGGAAGAGATCCCAAGAACTAGTAACAGTGTTCCCTTGGGGTACAGGCTGGGAGGCTAGGGCTGGAGGAGAGAAAGGGGGGATTTAAGTATGTCCTTTTTAAATCTAAAAATAAATTTGTTTTTTCCTTGCAGTACTAGAGATGGAACCCAGGCCCTTGCACATGTAGCTATGCCCCTGGCCCTCCCTTGAATTACTTTTTAAGCATGATTATGTTACATATCCAGGAATTTTTAAATGAAGTATAAGTGATGGACCTGTATGAAATAGAAAGTGGCCATTGTCTGCTCAGTGCCATCCCCGGAGGTTACCCTGTGCCGGGCTTCTGAGCCTCCCTGTAGGCTCATGTCTTGTATGCATGAACAGTCATCAGTATATTCTGAAGTTTTTCCTTTGCCTTTTTGGGGGAGTTGGTGGTTACTGGAGATTGAACTCAGGGCCTTCGTACTGAGCTACATCCCTTTTTATTTTTTGTTTCAAGACAGGATCTTGCTAAATTGCCTGGGCTAAGCTCAAACTTTTAATCTGCCGTAGGCGCCCAGAGTGCTAGGCTTCCTGGCACTCACTGCCACAGCCAGCGCTGCTTTCTTCCCCTGAATCTGTCATGACTGTCTCTTAGTTTGTACAGTTCTAGCTCATCATTTTAAACAAATACATGCTCTTCACTGTATGAACTGTGATGTCAAAAGCAAACATCAGTATGCAGCAAGTATTGCACTATGGCTGCATTTCTACCAACTTCCTGTTATGCATGCCAAAAAGGAGAGAGGTGATGGTTTTCTGCAGGGCTTTTAAAAACTCTCTCCCACCAGCAACCCAGGTGCCCAGGACATAACCAGTCTCACACGTTTGCTGAGTGAAAAAGTCAAAGAATTCCTCCTGAAGGAGAAAGTGCAGACCTTCTACCAGCAGGAGTTGGAAGCGGTGGCCTCCCTGCTGTCCCTTGCCAGTCAGCCTGTGAGTTGTGGCACCTGCTCGGACCAAGTGAGTGGGGTGTGCTCACGTGAAAAGCTGGGTCCCACGACCAAAGGGGGTGGGCGACCGTGACTGGTGTAAAGATACAGGGTGGGCCAAGGAGCCTCAGTCATGGTTCTGACAAATGTCCTTTGTATTTTCTTTAATTTTTTTAGTACCAGGAATTGAACTCACAACCTTGCACTTGCCAGACAGGTGTTTATGCCGCTGAGCCATCTCCCCGGCTCCTTTGTATTTTAGAAAGGTCACCAACTGACTGTGAAGAGTTTGAAGTAAGGGTGACCAGCCCTTTCCTCATGTAATTTCTCCTTATTTAACCTCTGGGCACTTCGTCTTGGAGTGCATCCCTCCTAACAGGCTTGGGAGTGGCCAGGAAGGGGGTGCGAGGGGGCGGGGAGGGGGGTTAACCTCCCACAGTGAGTGGTCCGGCAGGGTGGATTGGTGAACTTGAGCTGGGGCTTTTAATGACTGTTTCCTTTTCTTCAGGATGAGGTTGATCTGTCTGTGTTGGAGTTTAAATAGAGGGCCAACTGTATTCAGTCTAGTTACAAGTAAAAGTCTCCAAATACTGAAGTTCCTTTTGTTTTGTTTTTTTAACCTCTAGTGTTACAGGCAAACGTTTTGAGTGTTTGGTGTTTGACTGAAATTAAGAATTATTGGAGACTTTGGCGTTAGGCTTGCCTTTCTCATTTTTAAGTGTGTTGCTGTGATATGACTCATGTTTATTTTATGTATTTTCTTCCTCTGTCATCTGTTCTGGGTGCCACTTGTCCTACACTCTGACCACCCTGCTACTTGTGTCTGTGGTGTTGCTCTGCTCCGTAAGAATTTAAGCAATTTAAGCCTCGTGAGGTCAAAGGCCTTGTCTGTCTTATTCTTTGTTCTCTACCCAGGGAGGCAGGAGAAAGCAGGTTCTCTGTGAATATTTGATTGAAGAATGAATACATATAAAAATATATGGACTGACCCTTCGTTACTGACCTAGCAGACTGGTTAATGTACGTAGCCAGTCTTTCTGTTCCTGGGCTGCTCGGTTTCTACTCTGCCGTGAGCAGCAGGCTCCTGTGTGGGCGCGCTCTGGCCGAGGAGCTAAGTCAGGTCACCCTCCTGGCCTACCAGGCCGGCCCCTGCACTCGGGTGTGCTCACACACCTGATTGCCTCTTCCTGCCCACAGGGTCGTGTGCCTAGTGACCCGGGATTTCACATGGAGACGAGGAATAGCGACACGTAGGGAGAGCAGGTCACAGCTGGGCGCCTTGCTCTTTGCCAAGGTCACTCTGCACAGTCCCAGCTTCCCCACTGTCCACTGACAGAGTGACCTTCCCACTTAATCGTGCAGAGGGGGATTGAAGCCAGAGTGACCTCGCCCCTCTACTGACGGTCCACATGCTGGCAAGGAGACTAGGACTTGGGGAAGCCCACGGTCTCCCCACGAAAGCCGGCTCCTCTGTGATAGCCCTAATTCAGCAGAGGCCTGAGGACACTGAGGACCGAGGAGCCCCTCTACCCGGCATAGTCTGTGAGGAAGCCCTGAGCGATGGTGTTCAGAGTGCTGTATCAGCCCAGGGCTGGGGTTTAGAACAGAATGGCTGTGGCAGTGTATTTGCTGTCTTGGAGATGATTTTTTTCCATCAATTATGAATAAATCTGTCACATTGCTATGGTCGGGGAGGTTGGTGTCATTACATTCGATCCCTTTAATGAAGCCCTGGAGACTAAAGATGCTCTGGTGATGGTGGAACCTGAGAGCCCTTGGCGCTTCCTTTCATCCAGCTTAACACAAAGTCGCTGTGATCGTGTCATCGATTTTAGAGGAAGACAGTGGTTGGCACGTTGTCCCTTTGTCCTTTTCCCATCGAGGCCCTTAGCAAACCCAGAAACACGATAAGCAGATCTTGCAGCCACTGTTTCTTTTGACAGTGGGACGAGTGTGGAGTTGGCTGGGCGTGGAGGCTCCCTGTACATACCTGTCCAGGAGCGGCTGGCTTCTGACCTGAGCCCAAGGCTCGCTCCCTCGACCAGCCGCTGCTGTAGCCGAGGACCAGTTGTGGTTTCCTTACCTGCATGAGTCTGTCGTTGCTCTTTCGAGAAGGAGAAGCAAGACACAGACCCCAGGCCAAGAGAAGCTGCTGGCATTTGGGAGAGGGAGCTCCTGGTCTCCCCCTGGTCTCCGAGTCTTTAAACTGAGGCAGGAAACATGTCCCGAGTCAGCTGAGGCCGAGGTCCCTGGAAAGGAAGCTTCACGCATTGTGTAGATTTACAGAGAGCCTTTTTGTTGAGGCCACCGTGCTCGCAGCTGATGCCACTCTCCACCTCAGGCCTGCGCTCTCTTTCGGCCACTTGGTCTTACAGAAGGAAGGAGCAAATGCGGGCACAAAGGGTTGTCCAACCCAAGAGCCACGTGCAGATTTTCTACTCCCCGCCACTGCAAGAAACAAATCACGACTAAAGTACGGAACAGTTACCAAGCTTGGCCTGCTTCTGCGCAGTCCACTTGGTGGCCCTGTGGCTCCTTCTGCCTCAGTGGATCAGGAGCCTGTTTGTTAGGCGGAGTCATAAGCATGTTGGTCTGGAGGCTGTCCTGAGGTACTATGAGGTGGAGCTTACTTCTTTTCTTTCTCTTTGCTCTCCATCCAGGTGGAATTTAAGACCCACCCCAGTTCCAAGGCCATTCACAGTATATTTAAGAACGCCATAGAGCTGCTGCGGGCGGAAGGACTCGTTTTCCGGAAGAGTGGTGGCTTTGCGGACCTGTACCACGTGAGGAGGCCCTTAGCTTCTTTAATTTCCTTCACAGCTTCAATTACAAACGTATTGTTGCTAATGAATACTTACTGTTTTTAAAAACTTAGGTGACACATAAAGTCAGAAGTGAAAATTAGCCTTGCCTTTCTCCAGCATACCTCTTTTTACTGTGTATCCTTCCCTCACCTGTAGCTTCACGAATGCACACATACAGACTTGCTCCTGTGGCTTTTTTGTTTTATAAAAATGACCTCTAGGGGGCCGGGGAGATGGCTCAGTAGAATAAGTGCTTCCCTGGCAAGCACAAGGGCCTGAGTTCAATACCCGGTTCCGCCAAAAAAAAAAAAAAAAAAAAATGACCTCTAAATCAGAACTGGCCAACTTTAGCACTATTGGCCAGATGACTGTCCTGTGCTTTGTAGGACAGTTAGCATATCTGTGCCGTTCACTCAGTAGATGCCAGTAGTACCTGTCCCATTGTGACAGTCACAGATGCCCCTGGACATAGCTAAATACTCCCTGGCACAGTAGAGAACCACTGCTCTAAATGCTCAGTGACTTCCGTTGACACTGCAGTCGCATATCGCAGGCACGTTGCCAAACTCATACTTGGGCATCCGCCTGTCCTCCACCCTCACGGCAGTCCACACTGCAGGTAATGGCTGTACATTCCTTAGCCTTTCTTTGCGATGGACCACCATGGTTTTTCCAGCTTTTGCTGCTACAGACAGTGTTGCACTGGCCCTTTTTTGCAGCCGTCTTGGTGGCCTCATGTTCTATTTCTGTAAGTCTGACCAGAAGGAACATTTCATGTGTGTGGACGCTTCTACCGGTGTGGCCCAGCAGGCCTCCCAGAGGACATGCCCAGTGACTTCCTGCCAGGCGCCCCTCTACAGCCTTGTCTCCCAGTTACAGTTTGGCTTGTGCTGCAGCCCCTCCACATTAGGGGAGCAGGCTGGAAGCCTCTGGGACACCACGGCCGGCAGCATAAATGTGGCTTCAGGGAAGTGAGTTGGCTCCGCGGCGAGGTCTGCCTGGCTGGAGTCCCACGGCTGAGGCTTCCTGAGCAGTAGGATACCTCCTGCTGCTCATTACTCGGTGTTCCGTGTCCTCAGTTTTTTCAGAGCCGTTGAGTAATTTCTGGAAGAGGCACACCAGCCTAGAAGGGCAAGCGTAGCCCACCCTGTCTGAGAGTGCGAAGGCGCACAGGGTTGGCTGCGGTTGTCAGGCCCTCAGGGTGCCCCCCCCACCCCTTCCTCCCAGGCTCCCGGCCAGCCCCTGTAGAGGGCAGCCTTTCCTGGGGAGCCACCAGGGTGAGGCGTGGCAGGGCCGGACCCTTCCTCCGGTGACTCACTCTGAGTTGGAATGGGGTGATCGGGCAGGAACAGGCCTGCTGCCCCTCCTCCCACTTCACTCCTCGCCTCCACTCCTGTGTGCCTTAGGTCTCCTCTCCAGAGACCGGGCTCAGGGAGGTGGTTCTTCCAGTAAGGTCAGGACTCCTTTTGGCTGGTGCTTTCAGCTCCAGGCGGCTACACACGTGGCCTCTTTTTCTTTTTCAGTAGGAGAAATTGAACCCAGTCCTTCACACTGAGTGATAGCGCCAGTCTTTTTTAACAGGTTTCAGCTAAGGTCTTGCTAAGTTGCCCCAGCCTGGGCTTGGACTGAGGTCCTTGTGCCTCAGCCTCCCAGAGTGCTGGCATTGCAGGCCCAGCCTCCCACGCACTTCCTCACGTGGCTGTCCCAGTAAGCTGCGGCGTCAGTCAGGTCCAGGCCTTGGCGGCTGTCTGCAGTGGGAGCTACAGCCGTGTTTGCACATAGTTTCCTCCTGTCCTGCTTTCTTCCTCCCTCTTCCCTTCTTTCTCGCCTCTCTCTTTTCCTTTCCTTTTCTCTTTTATGCTTTCAGATTTACTGCTGACTAAAGGTGAAGCCCATTTTCTTCCCCTCACGTGAAAGGGCTGAGGAAGAAACACTGCTGCTTGTGTCTGCCTTGGAGAACAGAGAGCTTCAGTGAATAGGCTCAGTGTATTCTCACGCTAGCCCTCCCTCACTGAGGTTGTGGGGAGGCTTGGAGTGCTGTGCCCCCTCAGAATGCTAGCAAGTAAAAGACATGGGGACGTGGTATGAAGGCTGAAGGACAGAGCTGCACCTCAGGCAGCCGCACTCTGGCTTTTGTTGCCTCGGGTGTGGCCCCTGGCACGCAAGCTGCTCCTCACTGGGGACAGAACTGGCTGGGCCTAGGCGGTCAGCAGCCCCACTGAGCTGGCCTGCACGGGCGCCCTGGCAAAGCCAGTGCTGGTGTGGAGAGCGTGGTGAGGAAATGTCAGAAACGTGCCGAGTGCGGACTGGAGTCCGGAGGGTGTAACCGTTGTTACCCGAGAGCCTTCTCTCAGAACTCTTCCTCCTATTTAGGTAACCAGAGAGGACAAAGGCCTGCACAGGAAGGTCCTCCGGATCATTCAGGAAGACTGCCAGAAGCCAAATCGTAAGTGGGCTAACATGCAGGCGCCGCACCGGTGCACCGGAGCGCCGGGAGGGCTGTTCCCTTCCGAGACTGGGTTTATCCCTGAAGTGACGTCAGGCGCCACATTTTCAGAGCCGTTTCCTCCCCTCTAAAGCGAAGTTAGGCCACTTTGGACCTTACCCGCAAATAAGATTTAACTCTGAGAGCTCCTAAACGTGCTTCTTGTTCCACTGGGACGAGCTGGGGCCGAGCGGTGACTCAGGTGGGTCTGGTCTGCCCCTGAGCCAGGACTTTGCGGTCGGGTTCTGGTTCTTGGGGTCTGAGTTGCACTGTTTCCTGTGAGTGCTTCCCCTGGCCTTTGAACATATGCCTGATCATCCTTCTCTTCAAACATCAAGGCCTTTCGGTGTTGAAAGGGTGGGCCTAGACATTACAGTATGTGAATGCCACATTCATCTTGGAAGCTGGTTGTTTGCAAAAGTGGCTTAGAAAGTAGCTGTCTGGGTGGCATTAGGGCAGCCCCTAGTGGGAAGACACTCAAACTGCAAGTCTCGTAAGGAGCAGGAGCCATTTTTCAGGCTGGTTAGAGAGAAGGTAGCATTAAAAACTGTCCAAATCGCGTGCAGACTGGTCAGTTTTCAAGCTGTCTTCAGAATCCACCTTTGCAAGCATATGCTAACAGCGAATGGTGGCTTAGACGAAGACCTGTTCTTCATCCGGGGGAAATGCACTGCTAATTCCTCCGGCTCCATATCCCAGGGCCTGGGCCAGGTGGAGAGGACCAGCCCCTCTGCCCCGGCATCAGGTCCCGCGGAGGTCAGAACCCGAGGCAGTGCACAGCAGGTCCTAAGTCGGTCTGACTTAGTGCAGCTGCATGACTCGTGCTCACAGAGGCCCGTCCATGGGGCAGGTCCACCCTAGTGAGCACATGTTGGGATGCCCAGGCCCTGCATTCAGGCTGTGCATGCGAGCCCCCAGAGCCATGAGCCTGTCGCCTGGCACCGACTCCCAGGAGCTGAGTTCTGGAGCACAAGTAAGGGGCTTTCCTAGCACTTGTTTCAGTCACCCCTCTGTCACAGTGCCATAGCCTGCAGCATTCAAACGTTACTAATGTGCACTCACTGTTAAAAGTCAGGCTGGTGGCAATAGAGAGAGGTCAGAGCCGCCCCGGCGCTGGGCTCCCTTCCGCGCTGCGCACTTGCTGTTCTTCCCTGTCCTTCTCTGGAGGTCGGAAGGGCACCCATACTTGCACAGAAGATGCTTTAGTTGAGCGGATGCTTAGACAAAAGCCAATAGATACTTTTTGAAAAGCACAGGTAAGCAGGGTGTGGCGGCACACGCCTGTGATATCAGCACTCGGGATGGTTGAGGCAGGAGGATTGCTGGGAGTTCGAGACCAGCTCAGGCTACAAAGTGAGCTCAAGACGAGCCTGAACTCAGAGTGAGACCCTGTCTCAAAAAGACAAAAGAGGGGCTGGGGAGATAGCTCGGTGGTCTAAGCACCTGCCTGGCAAGTGCAAGGACCCGGGTTCAATCCCTGGTACATAGGCCCTGAAACCTGGTGTGGTGGTACATGCCTGTAATCTCAGAGCTGGGGAGGCTGAGACAGCAGGATCACTACAAGTTTCAACTGTGTAGCGAGACCCTGTAATAAATAAATAAATAAATAAATAACAAAGACAAAAGAAAGCGCAGCTAGCGCTTAGCCTGCAGCATCTGGTCCCACACCCTGGATCTTCCCTCTGGCCATGACTCCGGAGCTTGTTGGCAGTGGCACTGTCTGCATGCCAGGGCCCAGCCTACCCATCACCCTGCCCTGCAGGGCATACCCATGTGTCCAGAGAGTTCTGATGCTGCCCCACCATTGCCGCTGGGCCACCCGTGCCAACCTCCATCCTTGTCAGGAGACTGCTGGGCAGACTCAAACTGCCTGGGCTCCTGTGGGCAACGGCTGTGCCTACATTAGGAACTGGCTAAGTGCAGCAAGCCTGGTTTAGGACCTTGCAGGACCAAAGGTGCCTGCCTCAAGGTGGACACCACATGGCATCGGGAAGAGCTAGCCCGAGTCCCAGCCCCATCTCGCAGGCCACTCTGGCTGTCACCTTGGGTGGGCCTGCCCTCTGCTTCATTCGCATGGTGAGGAGGTGCTAGAGGTCGGTTTGTAAAGCACATACCACTAGGGCCCCAAAGGGCGAGAGGAAATGAAGCGCAATGAAGCGCACGTCCCGATCGTACCAGCCACGGCCTCCCCGCCGGTCTGTGGATGCTGGCGTCTGCTCTCCGCTGCTTGGTTAACAATCTGGAAGGCACCATGTTGTGGGCAATTATTGGGCTAAAAGTTTTTAAACAGAACGGGATTTCAGTTTTAAGTATGAACTCAACAAATAGCAAATTATCCAGAAAGAATGAATCCTATGCTGCGGATGGCTTTTAATCCCCAACTTCTCATTCTGAAAATGTTCCAACCTCTAGAAAAAATAAGACTTGCAGGGTAGACGCGGCTGCAAGAGCACAGCTGGCTGTCAGCACAGGGCTGTTCTCCACACGCCTGCCGGCCGCCTTCCCCCCTGAGCAGGTGACCACTGGAAGGTTCGGGCACGGCAGCCTCTCAGACGTTACTTTCTAGCACCTGTTGTGTTCTCCGAGCTCTCTTGGGTCCATTCATGCACCTCTGACGCTCCAGGCACTTTGATACTTTGGGTTGAGGCCGAGGCCTGCATGCTGAGCTGTGTTCCCAGCCCTGCTCCCTATTGTAAAACCCCCGGGGTCTTACTTTGTGGTTCAGGCTGGGCTTGAGCTCACTGTGTAGTCCGGGCTGGCCTTGAATGCACAGTAGTCCTCCTGTCTCTGCCCTCCAGGGCTGGGATTATAGGTGCCACACCACACCCGGGCTCCCAGCCTTTAAAAAATTGTTTTAGTTTAAGATAGAATCTCACTAAGTTGTCCGACTGGGCCCAAAGTTGGGATCTTCCTGCCTCAGCCTCCCAGAATTCTGGAATTATAGGCCTGCACCACCATGCTTGCTTGAGATTTGTTTTAATATGAGTTGAGTTTGTTGGAAACCTGGTTGGCTTCCTGGTGGCAGTGTGGCCCACACAAGGCACAGAAGCGCTTGGACACCTAAGGCCCTGCTGTTGGTGTCCTGGGAGGCTCCCTGGGAGACGGGGTCACTGCCAGCAGGTGCCCCTGCTGCGGCCAGAGAGCTGTCCAGGGAGGTGATGCAGGCAGTTGCAGGGGCGCCTGTGGGCTGTGTTCCCCGGGCGCTTTTCTGGTGCGTGCTCACATGTAGAAGAGCGTGGGCCTCGGTCCCAGGAGCCGGGACGCTCACTTTTCCCACAGCCTCGCCAGGTCACTCTCAAGCTGCTGGTCTGCTGCCCAGAGCCCATGGATGCCAGCGACCCTCAGCCTTCGCCCAGGGCTAGGTTGGAACTGAGTAGCACTGAGTGCCCAGCGGGTGCGAGGCCTTTCCACCCGGCCTCCGCGCGTGCCCGCGTCTCTTGCTATCAGCTTTTCTCTGCGTGCAGTGCTTCCTGCAAAGGGCAGAAGCTTCTTTGTCCCTTGTGGCACCAGGGACTGAGTGCAGGCCCTCCGCCCTGAGCTGTTCCCCAGCCCTGTTTTGGAGAGAGGATCGCACTACGTTGTGCAGGTGGGCTCAAGCTGGTGTCCTCCTGCCTCGGCTTCCCTGAGTGCTGGATTGCAGGTGTGCGTGGGTCACCACGCCCGGCCCAGCCTGTTTCTGTAGAAAGGAACCGGTTGAGTGTGGATGTCAGCTGGAGCCGCGGTGAGGTGGTGTGGGAGACACTTCCTGGACCTCGTCTCGGTCCAAGAAGCCAATATTTATAATCCCAAAGTTACATTATTGGAATCCCATCAAGTTGATTCCAGTCTACCACTTACAATGCTACCCACGGCGAAAATAAAGACACTAAATTATATTTTCAACCATCGGGGAGTCGAGGGGCTCTAAGTCCGGCCACGAAGATGGCTTTCCGGAACCAAGAGAGCGACCCAGGGCCTCACCCTGTTTTTATTCAGTGGGGAGTGGCTTGAGGAGGATTGCCTGAGAATTGTGGGAAGTAGGTGATCATTGTGAGCTGAGCTAGGTGGGTGGCCTACATGTACCTAAGGCCAACTGATAGAAGTCCCAGCCAGCTCTGTACATAGGAAATAGGGTCAATCTCAGTCAAAATGGAGACAGTCGCTTTTCTTTCAAGGAGAGCTGCTCAGGTGGTCCTCCACAGGGTGGGAGGTTCTCGTCCTCGCAGCCACTTTGCCCCAGTCGTGCAGGCAGGGTGCGTCTGGGCGTGGGACTGCAGCAGCAGCTCTGCTTCTCCACCCGGAGCTCTGCACGCGGGAGGTGTTCAGCAGATCTAGCCGTGACTGCTGAAGGAACAGCTTGCGGAGGCGGAGAGCAGTGAGCCAGTCAGGAGGAGTAATGAGCGAACATGGCACGAGAGGGCGCAATTTAGCGCCTCTGTTAGTGCAGGACTTCAGAGCCGCCCTGTTCCCCAGCCATAGGTGAGGGAACAGGCTTGGGGTTCTGTGATTGCTCAGAGCCGCAGCAGTGTGCTGAATGCCACGCAGTGCTTTACCCAGTACTGCAACACTGTGTGCACCATCCCACACCTGCAGCACCTTATGATCAGAAGCTAGCGTGTGCTGCCTGTAGGACAGCTTGTGAGCGTGGGGTGCCACGCGCCCGGCCCAGCCGGGGAGCCCTGGGATGTGCGGGCCGGGGCGGTTGTGAGCGTGGGGTGCCACGCGCCCGGCCCAGCCCGGGAGCCCAGGGATGTGCGGGCCGGGGCGGTTGTGAGCATGGGGTGCCACGCGCCCAGCCCAGCCAGGGAGCCCTGGGATGTGAGGGCTGGGGCGAATTGCCTTTAGGAGTGAGGTTCCTTTTGCACTCAGTTGGAAGTACATTTATGTCATAAGCCAGTACGCACACCATTTGATGCATGAGGTATGTGTGTGAGGTGAGCTCCCGATAGCACCCGTTGTACTTCCCCGCAGTGCAGTCTGCAGCCCTCTGTGCTAGCCTTTGTTAATCTGGGTAAGAGAAGAATGCTCTGGCCGTGTCCGCGCCGGCCTGCACTCCAGGGGCCACCTTGGAACGTGGCAAGACACTGTCTCAAAAAAAATAAAAACAGTGCCGAGCACGGCCCGTGAAAATTGATTTCCTGATCCCCCCAGTGGTCGTGACCCCTGGCGTGAAAGCCACTGCTCTAAGCCACGGCTTTCAGTGAGGCAAGCAGTTGCAGCCCTCAGCTGTGCCGCTGCCCACCAAGCAGTCTTAGTTCGGGTAGAGAGATCTCTACACAGCTGGCGCAGGTGAGACTCCCCAGAAGCCAGGCAAGGAGGCAGGAGAACAGACAAAGGTGGAAAGAAACCCTCTCCCCATGGCATCCCTGTCACGCCACTGGCTGATGGGTGGGGCAGCACCGCGTGGGGATCCCTGAAGGTTGGGGTCAGGCCCACAGCAGCAGGGTCATGTCCCTGTGGTAACAGAAGGGGCCGAGAGGAGGACCTCTGGATGTGTCCCCCAGGTCGCTAGCCCAGTGCACCTCTGACTTTACGTCCCATCCGCCTGGGCATGGCGCCCAGTGCGGGGCTGGTTCTGGAGCTTTGGAGAGGGAGAGGACGGGGTGGGGGCCTGGCAGCGTGCCCCCACTCACGCACCTGCCTTCTCCCTGCAGACAGGGAGAGGGGCTGCCACTTCCAGCACATCTTGGCCTGTGTGCGCCTGAGCATCCAGCCGGGCCTCAGTGAAGCTGTGCTGCAGCAGGTGCTAGAGCTCCTGGAGGACCAGAGTGACATCTTCAGCACGACAGACCGCTACTACGTGGCCTTCTGAGAGTGGCCTGCAGGCAGCCAAGGCCAGAAGTGGAGGCACGGTTGGCCCAGGCTCTGCTCCACACCAAGTGGAGCTCACCCGTCTGCCGGCAGCTGCTCATAACGAGCCATCAGCGACAGCCACCGGCAAGTGAGGTTGGGCCTTCTGCGTGCTGCGCCCTTGTGACTCTGATCTCAGTGACGGCATAGAAAACCCTTCTTACTGACCTGGATGGACTGGGCATCTGGCAGGGGCCAGGATGGGGAGAAACAGTGTTGGTGGCTTCACCGCATGTGGTCACAAATGTGCTAAAGGGATATCACAGGGTAAAGGCCTCACTGATGGCACGATTCTGGCACAAGATCTTAAGACCCCAGGCCTTCGACTGAGTCCCCGTGGCCCCTCTGAGGGGAGGAGCGGGTGGAGGGCTGAGCGTCACCTGGCCCTGCCTTTGAGGTTTGGCACCAGCCGTGGGGCCCAGGGCCTGGAGCCTGGCCTGCGTTGGCGGAGAAGCGAGGGGCATGGCTGGGGCATGGCTCCGCTTGTCGTTTTCCTCTGGAGTCTGGAGGCACTGTGCACGCGGGGCGCTGTGTGACTGCGCCGTGGTCCCGCGGTGCCCTGCAGCCAGTGGGCGCCTCCAGCCTTGTTGGCAGGCGGGGGTGTTATTCTCAGGGTTGTTGCTGAGTGGGCAGAATGTGCCCAGACAGGTGCAGGCGTCAGGCTTTTCTCCAAATAACAAGGTAGAAGGAAACTATGAGGCACGCGGTGAGCTTGTTCTAACAGAAAATGACAAGCTTAGCCAGCAAAAACAAAAGTAAAATAAAGTATGCAGAAAGCTTCGCAGTTAATTCTAGTCATTGTGCCCAGGCACTGCTGCCCGCGTCTGCGCGCCTCCCTCTAGGAGCAGCAGGTCTGGCGGCTCAGCCGGAATCCTGCAGGCCCAGGCGCAGCCCCGCTCTCCATGGACTGCGTGCAGAGTTACTCAGAGGTCTGCCTTAGTGGATGTGCAGGCAGCACCGGCGCCGGCGGGTCACCCCGTCCTGCATCTTCCCGATTTGACCCAAATTCTGCCAGCTTCTGAGGTTAACACCTGCCTTATGGTCAGAAGTCTTTTGGGGGAAGGTTGGGGTTGAACCAGAAGCATTCCAGCCCTCCCCTCTTTCTGAGACAGGCCCCAGCTGAGGTTCGCAGTTTGGCCTCGAGCTTATGCTCTCAGCCTCCTGAGTAGATGGGATTACAGGAGTGTGCCACCTCCCTGGCTTAGAGCTTTTTGAACAGAGGTTCCCTGGAGGACATCCTGGCAGGTTTCCTCAAGACCAAGTGGTTTGTGAGGCTGAGTCCATCTTCTGTTAAGAGGACTTCTAGGAGGGAGTCTAGATCAGGAGGTAGAGGGCAAGACCTTGTGCGGAGCAAGCCCGTGCTGGGGCGTGCATCCGTGGGGCGACCACACACGTGTGAAAGCGTGGGCGCCAAGACGCCCAGGCATGTAACCTGGACTTCTGTAATCAGGGAATTAGGAGAAAAGATGGTCCAGGGACATAATGAAATATTCAGCCGCTAAAATGATGGAGCAGACGCGCTGTTGCCACAGGCACGCTCCCAGCAGACGTAAGCGAAGACAGTGCAGGTGGAGATCTGTTTACCGCGTGCGGCACCGATGCTGTAGCGCTGCCTGTGCGTACGCACACCTGTGTAGTGTGTTTTTCTGTGTGTCTGTGTTTCTAGATGTGCACATGTACAGGGGCGTGCAGCTGGCTGCTCCTGTCCAGAAATGCTTCCATGTGTAGCGGCTTCCCCTGCTGCACCTTGTTGGGCTCCTTTCCTCTCCCATGTCTCCCTAAGCCTTGGGGCTCAACATCAGTCCTAGACCTCATTTCTGATTGGCTTGCTGTCCTGAGGAGTCTCAGGCTGCGAGTCTTCCTCTAGGTTTGCTGCAGCCATGTCGGCCTGTCCCCTGGTACGTGTCCAGTGCTGCTGACATCTCACTGCAGGATCCAAGGGAGTCACAAACTCCACCCCACGCCAGGCTCCCCGCCTGGTCCTCCGCAGGTTTCCCTGATCCAGGACGAGGCAGCTCCACCTGCCAGGCCTGGGCCCAGTCTGTTGCCTCCTTCCTCGCTCTCACAGCTCCATCGATCTGCAGGGCATTTCTAGGCCCTGCTGCTTTTCCCTCCTCTGCTTGCACTTCCCCAGGCACTGCGCTCCCTCCTGTCCTGCCGCTGCCTGCGCCCCTCTTGTAGTCTTAGCGTAGCAGCTGCAGGGACCCACTCCCGGGCTTTCCTTCTTGCTCCGGGTAGGAGCCCATAGGACCCGGAGGGCCAGCAAGGCTCTGCTCTGTTGGGCCTCTGCTGACTCCTGCACACTGCTCCCAAGGTGCACACCCACCCCAGGGCCTTGCACCACTATCTTATCTACCTGGAATAGTCTTGGTCCAGATGAGCATCCACCGTGTGGGTCTTCACCTGGGGGTCACCTGTGAGGTATCTCTGCCGATTGGAACCAAACTGCCTGGAATCCCCTCCCTAGGCTCACTTGTCCCACAGAACTTGGGGCTGCCCAGGGCACTGCAGATGCTGCGCTCTTCGCCTGCCTCCCTGGCAGAAGAAGCTCCGTGACTGGGTGCTCTCGATGCCTGCTGTGGCCCCAGCACCCGTCCTCATACCCGGCACGTTGTTCAGCAGCCCTACTGTGTGGCTGCTATCAGCCACACCGCCTGCCTGTCCTGCGCTTCCTCCGGCACCTAGAAGCGCAGGGAGCAGTACCCGGGAAAATGATCACCCCTCAGCCATCAGCGGGAGGTTTCGGGCTGTGCTTTACGCAGTTTTCCAAGGTTTCCGTGGGGAGTCGAGCTCTATCCTTCTGCAGAAGCAGCCAGTGGCTCTCCATCAGCCCTGCCCTGCCCTCCTCCTCCCCTCCCTTCCCCTCCCCTTCCTTCCCCTGTGTTTCTCTCCCCTCCTTACCCCCTCCCCTCCCCTCCCTTCCTCTCCCCTCCTCTCCTTCCCCTCTGCTCCTCTAGTCCTTCCCTTTCCCTCCCCTC